TTTGAATCTGGACACAGTTCCCAGGTCAACGCCCACTTTCCCTGTTTGTGTTTGTTTGCTTCAATTAGTCTTTGACATCTCTGCTTTTCAGCTTGCCTGAACCTCTCAGGGCTGTCAGGCTTTTCTTGTTCAGCACCTCGCTGCTACGAACAACTCTACATCTAAAATAGACTGGACATGCTGGTTGGGAAGTGCCCACAGTTGACTCATTTAGGCTTAAATGATCTTAATGATCATTGAGTTTTATACAAGGCTGCGTTAAATTTGTATGTGAAATTAATGCTTCACATGTTTCTCCGTTCATTTATTCTCCACTTCCTCCATGTGCCCTGGTGTTTCCGTGGCATTTGATTTGTTCATTAAACATGGAGGAATGTGGCATCCTTGGTTTTGTTTTAACATCCAGAAGGCTGTATCAGACATGAGTGGAAAAACCACCTCACTACTAAACAAAATGAATGTGTGCTTTGGGTTGTGGTATCAAAATGGGAATATTTTTGGAGTCAGCTTCTGGGAAAGGAAGAAAAAATAGAGAGAGCAGATGGAGTTTTATTATTTTTCGTATATTGATAAAGTAACTAGTTGTAATTTTGATCTGAAATGTAAAAAATAAGGACATTTTCTTTATTTTTTCCATATCAAACTTCAATGAAAACAACAATTATAAAAAGTGGTAATGTGCAATTGTTCAATGTGGTACTCAATGAAAGTGTTTGTGAATTTGATCCATCTACAGCATAGGCGCACTGTCTGGCTGATATCCAGTTTCACATATTTGCCTAATCCTATAGTGGGCGATATTAAATATACATATTCTAATTTGGACATTTCTTAACCTATTCTATGTAACCAGGTTGCAAAATGATCTAAGTTGCACACAGTCCTCCTTGAAGCAACTGCAGATGCAGATAGACATGGTACCCAGAGATAACCTTTCCATTGCTGTTCCTTATAATGTCTGTCATGAGAGGTCACCCATTATCGCTACCTGATACAGCACAAATGAGGAACCTGAACATGCAGTATCATTCTTCACACTTCACAGTGTCACTGTGCTTATCTCAAGATGTTTAGATTAAGATAATGTTTTGTAACAGCTGCACTGTATTTCATAATAACTTTCTAATTTTCCCTTTCATTTTGTCTTTTGCATTCACATATCATGTAACTGCTCTTGTAATATAAAACTACAAATAAGTAAATGAAACAGAAATTAGTATTATTTAACATAAGGGGCTTTGTAAGTGTGTGCATGTGTGTGTGTATAGATCATTGCATACGTGCAATTAGGCAATGTGTTCATAACTATGAACGTCAATTCTGGTTGGTATTAAAGATGCAGAGAGGGAAGGTAAGGAAAGGAGGATGTTGGCTGGCGGAAGCTCTGCTAAATGCTGATAAAAAGAACACTTGGTTCTTAGGAAGGGAACTGCTAACTGCTGTGGTTGCTGGCATAAGCTGAGAAGAGGGGAGCAGCTCGTACTATCACTTTACTTCATTCTCTCTATTGATATATTTTTCAGTTATACTTTTTAATCTTTGTGAGCAATAGACAGGAGTATATGGTAAATACCTGCTGTGCTTTAAGGTGTCATTTACACTGGAGACGCGGGGGACATGTCCCTTAACACTTTTAGAAATGAAGGAATTATTCCCCACTTTTTAAATGCATAATTTGTTAAAAAAATGACTGAGAACACTTAAAAAATGTTAATTTGCATAATAAAAAACATACAATGCAATGTAAATATAGAAGAAACAAATGTGCATTGTCTTAAAAAAAATATAACCTTAAAAAAGGCCCCTGCAGCCTGTTCAATGATGCAAAAATCTGCAACTTTGATACGTTTCTTTTTGTCCAATGTTTCAAGTCTCTCTCTGTGAACATGGCAGCACATACAAATTGTAAAGTCCAAAGTTTGATAAACTAATTAAAATAAATGAATGTGTCATTAACATAATGCACGTTTAAAGACGTGACATCCCCAAACCAAAGAGGATAAAAAGAGTAAATCATACCTATTATGTATTGACTCAGCATAGGTTACATTAAATAAGAAAAGTTGATCTACAGGAGAATAAATACTTGAAAGCAATACAGAATGCCTGAGAGCCTCACTGCATCATATTACACTATATTCTTACATCTTTTAATTGTCACCCACTGCCTGGATTTTGTGTTTTACCTGACATGAATAAAGGCAATTCCACTATAAACTAGTGCATAAAAATTCACCAGAATGCAGAAAATTAGGTAAGTGACGCTCATAATTTTCTCTTGGACACCCAGACACCTCCACTTAAAGGAACACTTCCTCCACAAAATGACCATTTGTATATCAGTTAGACACACTGTGTTACCTTGAATTCATGAGGAAATTTTTTATTTTTTTGTATGTCTCCACGGAAAACGGCAATCACATAGATTTATTGATTGGGGACCATGTGAACAACTGCATAACTATCTTAGAACACCCATTTACAGAATATAACTGAATTTATGCTGTATAATCCAAGTCTCAATTATCCAGTTGTATGTTCAGTGCTTCCTAAAGAAATGCATGTTTGTTTGTATTGAGGAGAGCATAAATAAGTTTCACTTTCAGTTCAGTTTTAAATATTACAGTTTCATGGAAAATTCACGTGTTTGGGAAATACTGACTGTTAATTGAGACTTGGGTTATAGTGCTCGACTTGTGTGAGTGTTTGTTATCGGGTGTTTTGAGATAGTTTTGTTGGTTAACTGTTGTAACCTCTCTCAGTGACAGCTTACAGACTCCGAACCGTAGTTGGGAACACGCTGGGTTATTACTTAATTCTGCTGGCTATCATCACTATTTGCTGCATGCGGACACTATGGACACTTATGGACACCACTATAAGCATTGCTGTCCCCCATGTTGTTATTTGCACATTCAGTATTCACTTGCACTAAATATGTTCACTTTAATCTACTGTTCACTTTTTTATCCACTGCTCATTATTATTATTATTATTTTTATTGTTAGTATTTATTGCTGTTTCTTGTATCTTTTGTACTTTTTTTCTGCATGCCTAGTTTTTTAAGTTTTTAAATATTGAAATCTTTAATTTGACTCTTTCCCCTGGACTGCTGTAACACTGGAATTTCTCAATTGTGGGATTAAAAAAGGTGTATCTTATCTTATCTTATCTTATCTTATCTTATGCGCCTTCACCATGACACCCCCTGAGAGAGCTGCTTCCCTCCACATGCACTATAAAGTACACATATCCCACACTCACAGGTTACCCACCACCCTTAAAGGGCAAAAAGGGTGACACTGTGGTCCCCGATCAACCAATAAATCAATATGTTTGCCGTTTTCAGTACAGGCATGCCGGCAGAACAAAGTTTTTCTTCATAAATTCAAGATAACACAGCATGACTAACTCATATACAAATAGTCATGTCGTGGATTAGGTTGGTCTATTCCTTTAATATGTGTCCCCCACAATATTGAAATCAAACTTACACCCTTAATAGAACTCTAGGCTATGCCGTTTAATGCACCAGTGTGCATTTTTCCCCAAGACCTACTCTGAACTCATAAAATTCCCCCCATTACATTGTTTTGAATAGCATTATGTTAATGACTGGTTAAAATATGTTTTCTTTTTCATTCAACTCCTAATGTCCCCACTACTTTTTAAAATAAAACTGACGCCCTTGTTTAAGTCACAGTTGCACTGTTAGCTTACATCATGCTTTGAAGATTTTCTAAAGCAGTCATTGTATGTTTCAGTTGAGTATTATACTATAAAGCGTCGCTCTATACATTTTTATACAACTCATTTGAAAGAAATACATAGCAACATCACAAGTAACAGTCCACTGTTGCGTCTGATGATAAAAATGTAATAATCATTATATAGTTTTTGCATGTTGATTCATCATTCAACTTTCACCCATCACCATCTCTGCCAGTCATCATCATCATCACTGTAATGGATTTCTAATACATATAAGGGTATGAATATGTTTGACTTCTAACATGAGCTGACATGCAGTGACAGCTGAGAATAATTTAACCTATAGGCCTGAGTATGAGCTCGTTCAAGGCAGCAAACTGTTTCCTCTCTGGTCGGGGTAATTTTGAAATCTTCGTGGCTGAATTGTGTAAACATAGTGCAGTATTGCAACATTTCATGGTTGCCCACAGCGGTGTTATGAATAGTTTGTATCTTTTTACCATACACTCTCTGCAGTAAATAATAGCTGTGCACCACTCGCCTTCAGAACTGTAGGCTACATATTCCAGTATTATTTCAAACTCTGGCCCAAAAATATCTTACAGTAAGGCCAGGCAGTGATGTCATTTACGGAGTGAGATAGAGGGAAATCCCCATCAGCCTGGGTTTCCAGATGCTTCCCAGAAGTGGGAACTAAGATAATTGGAGTTGGTTAAATGTAGGAGGATCCTGAAAAAAGATGTTGATGAGTACGAGCAAGCTAAAGTGGCTTGTAAATGAGCTTTTTTTCCTCCTTCTTGTTACCATGCAGCCGTAGGCTATTAAAAAACAGCAACAGCCTTCAGTCACTAAATGTATGATGGCTCATAACGATGATTTGGTTTGACCACAGTAGGCTACTCATGGTACATTTGAATCCTGACATTCAATTCAATTGTCCTGTGTAAGAAGAGTCCAAAATTGCACCTGGAAATTACTATTAAATCACCTTTATGTGGTACTTTCCTTATAAAATGAACACCATTGGCACTGCAATGATGTTATTTTACTGTAGAGCAAGACAGTGTATCACAGGAGGTCTATGACGAACATGCAATATTTGACTTTATCCAAGGGACATTATTAAGTTGCAACTTTCCTTACTGAAGGTTCACTGAAGGGACAAATGTGCTACGGCTGCCGGTGAGTCTGAATGTACTTTATAATTGACCATATCAGTTCACTTCCGGCATAAATGAAACGTATTTTCTCGCCTGCCTCCGCGCCCTGCAGTGAATTGCTCTTTGCCCTGCACGCGCAACGTAGAGCCCAGCGTCAGCCAATAGGAAAGAGCCTCATTTACTGTACGTATGACGTAGCTCGCTGCTAGCCTGCTAGCTGGTTTGCTAACAAGAAAGAAGATGGATTCTCCCATACTGGTAATGTTGGCATATGTAACAATATACATGTCATTCAGGCTTTCAGTTATAACCGTTTCTCGTAGCTATATTCTGCTGTTGTTTCTCCAAACGTAACGTTACTGAAATATGGTAATTTAGTTAGCGAGTTAACTCGACACGGAGCTAACTAAAGTAAACGGGTTAGCTGTGTTAGCTAACTAGCTAACGTTAGCCTCAGAGAAGTTAGCTTCGTGTGTGTGTGTTTGTTGGTGATGTGGAAGTGTCATGTCTTCGTTTTGACTTCAGTCATTGTTACCATTTCTATCACACCAGTGACTGTGATATAAATACCTCTATTTATCCCATGTTAACGCATCCTACGCCGCTCTGTTAGTTTGTTGTCACCAGTTAATTCTACGATGATTGACTTCAGTTTGTCTTAATAATTTTACATACTTGTGTAAATTAAGTCAGCGCTTAATTTTTCTACTTTAACAGGAACCGTCCTTGTACACTGTCAAAGCAGTTCTGATTCTGGACAACGATGGAGACAGGCTTTATGCCAAGGTATGATTAAGACAAATATATAACAAAATGGCCCTCATTGATTAACTTCCTCGCCTAACTTCTTGGTCCTGGATCAACTGCATTAAAGGACAAACCTAGTGATATTCTATGATTTTCTTCTCATCAAATCCTGCTTAAACACTAGTCCAAAAGTGAATTTAACCAACTAAAAAGTATTATCCCATTTGCCATAACCCAATACAGCATATTCCGCTTTTCCACAGACCTCAATATTTGTCTTTACTATCATAAATACATCAAAGAGCCACACTGCTGCACTGGGTGACCCATTTAATTAACTTTAACATGGGCACTGCAGTTTAATTTGAGCTACATACACTATCACAATAATGTAAATACTCACTTGTGCGCCAAATTTACAGCTGAAAAATTACTCAATAAATGTAAAACACAGTAAACTATATAGGCTATTTGTGGCCCATACTTAATAGGTTTATTTGTTCAGTAGGAACTAGTGGGCTTTCGGCCGAGTCACAGACCGGCAGGGGAAGTATTACAAAACGAATTCACTGTTGCTTTTGGTCTTTTTATTGGATTTACTGACAATGAGAGGAATATTAAATATCACCAGCTTTATCCTTTGATTAAAAATTCAAATGATAGATTTACATATCACTGTATAACAATGCCTTCACTTTAAATTCATCTACAGTATTATGATGACACATATCCGACAGTGAAGGAGCAGAAGGCATTTGAGAAGAACATATTCAACAAAACACACAGGACGGACAGTAAGACATGTTTAACTACATTAAAGACAGTCACTATTACAGTCTGACTACATGTCTAATAACATGCATGGTTGTTTTTTGTGTTTGTGTGTGTCCTTAGGTGAGATAGCGTTACTCGAGGGCCTTACAGTTGTCTACAAGAGCAACATAGACCTCTTCTTTTATGTGATTGGAAGTTCCCATGAAAATGAGGTAAATCTAATTATAGGATTTTATAATTAACCATTATATAACCACCGTTATAGCCATTATTAATAAGACTTGTAAATGTATTATTGAGCAGTGAGCAATGGTTTGAATCATAGCAGATCAGATAGTAATTTTCAACCACTGTGATATGATATTGTAAAACACCTACAGGCCTGAGCAGTCTTTTATAATGCATCGACACAAAGTCCATGCTGCAGTTTACATTTTGCAGTCTTTTAATCTTTTTTAACTTTTTAGCAACTGCACGTTGCTGTCAAAATCAATTGTGTGGCCTGCTGTCTGAAGTGATGGTGCATTTGCATTTTAACCTTTTTAAAGCATGTTACATCTTACTTCTACATGTCATTCATGGCTTTGTTTTTTTTTTTTTCATTTATTGATTTGTTGTTTTTTTCTCAGTAAAGATGACATTTATGTAGACAGCAGATACATGTTCAGATCAGAAACAAGTGAGGGACCCATTGTGCAGATTTTTATTTTTTATATTAATTTCTCAACAACACAATGATCAACAAAATTGAGATGTTTTAGCTTTAACTTAACTGGCAAATTTACTCTCTTCTGAGCTATTTAACAGTGTTGCCCCACAACTTGGCTTTTTGTGTTTTATTTTGGATATCAGTGTTGTGGCATACAGTGCATTTTGCCATAGAAACAAAAAAATTACATGTCAGTGTGACCCAATATGTCTAAATTTGGGTTTTACACATTTATTTATTTTGTGATATTTTATAAAAAATAAATACTTGCAATTAAAGTAACTTCATCCATGATAACATAGGTAACTGTTTTTACACTTCATGTGTCTTTTATTCATAACTACAGTAGTTTGGAGCCTGCACAGACGGATACCAAGTTTGGCTTAGGTATAAAACAAAAAAAACATTATTTGCCTTAAGGTGCAAAAAAATATTGTGAAAATCATAACAAGCCATTACGTACATGTTATTTCCTGAGTGATTATTTTCACCCAGATGATAAAAAACAACATGAACTCATTAGACTTGAACAGATTCTAATATATTCTTTTTTTCTCAACAGCTTATGCTCATGGCTGTTCTTAACTGCCTTTTTGATTCGCTCAGTCAGATGTTGAGGTATGTTTTGGCAGCTGTTATTTATTCTACAACATTTCAGCAACACTTTGTTTTTTACTAATCTTTTTCTGATGTCTGGGGTGTTACGCCTGACATGTATTGTTTTTTGTTACTATGTAGGAAAAATGTTGAGAGGAGGGCTTTGTTGGAGAATATGGAGGGACTCTTCCTGGCTGTGGATGAAATTGTAGATGGAGGGTAAGCACGAATTGGCTTGAATCTTTGGATGCTAAGTCTTGTCAAAAAGACGACAGTGTTAGTACAGCACTAATTGTTGGTGTGTCTCTTTGCTGCCTCCTGCAGGGTGATCCTGGAGAGTGACCCGCAGCAAGTTGTGCATCGTGTGGCCCTTAGAGTAAGCTCCTCTCATATCAGAAATATTTAACATGATAATATTGATGTTGGTTGGTTCAGCTGTAAACATAACATAACTGTTCCTGTAGGGGGATGATGTGCCTTTGACAGAGCAGACAGTCACCCAGGTAAGAAAAACATTCATTGCTCCTCTCTGTGCTATAAAGTTTAAAAGCTCCATTAGTTTATTGACTGTTAAAGCTCATTACTTCAGAACTTATGAATACAAGGGCATTGTTATAGCATCATTCTCCTCTAAGCCTACTTTGTCACGCGCCTCTAGGTTGTCATATATCGCATTACCTTCTATGCATGACGGTGTACATGATTGCTAATTATTCAATGGTAAGGTGGTACGGTAGCCAACTGTGGTTCCTGTCTTTTAGTTCTAACATGAGTCTGCCTGTGTGTGAGCTCCTCTTGATTAATGTTGTCATTTAAGAGGCCTGAGACTGGCTACCGCCATCCCTCCTCTGGCCGTGATTAATGGCTGTCCCCAATCCCCATACTTTATGGTTATGATTCGGCTTTCATTCAGTGAATTAAGATGATTAATTAGATCTCGCATATTTCTCTTCATTTACATTACTCATTCACCCTTCTTTGTTCTGTTCTTTAACAATTATATGTACATTTTTTAAAATTTGTCCCTTAAAGCTCCTGAACAAGGTGTCTCCCATTTTTCATTTTGTTTTATTTGATACTTTTTTCCTTAAAGGCGAACTTCACCCATTGTGAGAATTAATACATTATTACTATGGTCTATGACAGTCCAAAAATATTTGTAAACATGAAAAACTCTCTCCTAAATCCAAAAGCTGGAGTGCTAAAACTAAAATTTGTGATGTCATCAAGTAGGAGTTCTGTAGCTGCTCCATGGACAATGACTTAGCATGTTTTAGACGACACTGAGAGCACCCAGGGGAACGTTTGGAGTATATAGGTACATTTTCCGTTTCAGAACTAAGACTGGCAATTTAGCATTAAGTTCATATGGGTGTAAAAAGACAAATAAACATTTTGTGGGTCCACAAAATAAGTTCCCAATCATTGTTTTTGGAGCAGCTCCAGAATTTATACTTGATGACATCACAAATTTGAGACTTTTATTGTAATTTATTGCAAGACTCTGCAGTCCCAACTTCCGATCCAAATGCATTCCAGTGCATCTGCTCTGGAAAGCATAACGTGTGCAGCGAGTCTCTGAGCTTCACAAGCATTTCCAGAGGACCCACATTAATAACCACAGCGCCTTAAGCGAGGAGGAATGGCGTAAAACATGTCTTGCTCATTTTTGCTCAACTAAAGAACAACAACAGCTCAAAATTGTGCAAATGGGTACCTTGAATATTTATGTGAACCATCACAGCCAATATGCATGAAGTTGTGATGTGTATTTGTTTTGCATGGACAGAGACTGAGAAATGCACGCTCGCAATGACTCTAAACAAGCACAAGTCAACTAAATAAAAATGGCACTTACAACGTAAGAACAGCACGTTTAACAACACCAACACTAAATAAGTATAAGTAAAATAATTGATGAAAATGTCATGGAACTTGCCCGAGTTTCTGACCATGAATTCAAACTTAAATGACTGTTCCATTCCACTTTTCTGTGTCAGAGGTCGTATTTTTTCCAGGTCTAAGTACAGTGGATTAGGGGTGTGACGAACAATTATTTTCATTATTGTCTAATCCGTCGATTTTTTTTTTTCACAATTAATCAACTGTGTAGTCTATAAAATGTCAAAAAAATGGTCATCACAATTTCCTCAGAACCCAAAGTGCCGTTTTCAAAATGTTATAAATGACAAAGATAGGCATCAAGTTTCCACATGTAAGAAGCTGGAACTAGCAAATATTAGACTTTTGTTTTTCTTTGAAAAATGACTGAAACACTTAATTCATTAATAAAATAGTTGGCTACTAATCTCTTTTGATCGACTACTCGATTAATTGACTAGCTGTTGCAGCTCTGTAATGGATTACAGCATTTCATCTCTGGTGTCAGGCTTTGAGAGAGGTTTACACATTCACAAACGCTGATTGAACTTTCCTAGTTTTGTTGTTGGAGTGATCTGCTCAGTCAAACCTAGATTTCCTCCACAGGTTCTCCAGTCTGCCAAAGAACAGATCAAGTGGTCGCTTCTACGATAGAGTCACGCCCGCACCAGTCTGCCAGTGAGCCGCTGTTCAGCCCAGTCTTCGTGGCACTGATCCGTATACTCCTTTTTCCTCTGATTTCCACTCCTTCAATCAAAGCTGTGAGGAGTACCGCTGGGTGATCCAGTCACACTCCCAGGACTACTGCTCGATAACGTTTTATTTTTTGTTTTCTTTATTCTTCTCTTTCGCACTGTATGACATAATCATCACGAGGATAAGATATGGTGTACATTCCAGTATCATTACGTTATCTGGGTGTTTATTAAACCAGTGTATCTGTTTATGAAACATTGATAGACCTCATCACAGCCTGTGGCAACATTCCACGTGTCTCCTCAAACAAGAATTTTGTCGTTTGACAGCACCCCGTCGTCTTACTGTACAAAGTATTGAGACCCTTATCATTTAATACACATGAATATTGTGATTACAAAGTGTACAGCCTGTACTGCAGTCATGCCACTGATCACAGAGGTATGTTTTGAATATATTTTGACCGGAGATCTTCCATTCATCAGACACTTATAATAAATGTTTGTTGACACTGATATGTGATCAGATGTGATATGTTTAACACTGCCTGCTGTGTGTTTATCAATGCATTCTAGACTAGCCTTGTATTGTAGTTATATGATTTGTCATACTTTTTATGTTGGCAAATGTTGCATGCTTTTAAGAGTTAGTGTTTTCTTATTCCAGAGCTGCCATGCTGTGTGTTCTTTGTTCTTCAAGACCTCAGCGAGAGCCGGAGACACTAGAGCGAGGGCTCCATCTCCTGGCGTCTGCAGCAAAGTGCAAAGCTGAGGTACATAAATACTGTAGACACGAAGGTTGCAAGGGGAGGAGACTCACTCATGCCGCTATGATCAGGAGCTTACACTGTACTGTGTCGCTGTGACATGCAGATAAGTTTTATGGAGTCATACTTGATTCATTCCCACCCTGTGGAGAGCCACTGTGTGCAGCATGAATTGTGCGCTTCGACGTTTGCACCCCCACCGTCGCACACTAACCTCGTACTCTCATTGTAATGCAAATGAAGGATACACTCGAGAGAGAAATGGGTAGGAGAAAGGGCACTACATCATGTTGGTACCTGATGCATATTACAGGAGAGGAAATGATCTATCTGCATTCTTCCAGCTAGGTATCCACATATGTTCTCATGATGATCACTTGAAGGTGTTTCTTGCTTGGAGAGATTTCTGTTGGTGGGCAATAAACAGATCCAACCATGCCTAATTTGGAGCACATTAGTTAGCTGGTATTGTTACTGATCATGTCACCTCCCTCCTTATCTGTACAGTCAGAAAACACTACCTGCTATACTTGGCAAGCAGTGACATGTCTGTTTGCTGAAGTCAGAGGTCAATAAGCTATTGTTTGTACCCCTTTACACAAACATATGTAACAAGTTTGCCTTTTCCCAGTGTCTCTTATCTACATCTAAATGAGTCACTTGGCTGAGACATCAAAGCGAGGAGCAGCTAAAGTGAATGCTCTTGATGTAGAGATGACTATGGCCTGGAGCAGTTTGTGGAAAGGATGAGACAGAGCGATAATGTCACAATGCAGAATGTAAATTAGAGCATTTCACCCTTTTATTTTCCGGCCGGGAAAATTTCACACCTCTTCCACTGGCAAATAATCAGTTAATTCATGCGTTTATTGCACCCTCAGTGAGATTTGATGGGAGTCGCTAATCTCAATCACGAACATGTTGGACAGAAAACAGCACAAAGGAATGCACTCATGCTATTCTGAGGCACAGAAATGCTGCAGTTTAATATGCGCACACTGGAAGATTAGTGGAGTATTACTTTTATAAGTAAATTATATTTGCATTATTGTGGGCCAGATGACTTAATTGATTTCAGCTCAACATTACGGTACATAAAATAAGTAATAAATAGCTCTCTGCGTGTTGTGTATCAATCACAGTTAACTGCTGGCAGACAGCAGCTGATACAAAACGAGGCAGCAGGATGTGTGTGTGTGTGTGTGTGTGTGTGTGTGTGTGTGTGTGTGTGTGTGTGTGTGTGTGTGTGTGTGTGTGTGTGTGTGTGTGTGGTTGCGCCAGGATGCATGCATGTGGGTTGATGTTTTCACATAACAGAGAGGAGTGCAGTCAATGAAACTGTTATTGGCTGTGACCCGTGGACCTATTGTCTTGGCTTAGCTCCAGTTTGATTCAGCCCTTGAATCTGTGGCTCTTTATGGCTGCAGAGATAGCATGAATGGAGGCTATGTTGATGCTACTTTCTAAGTGTTTTACTGGAGAAAGAGCAGTGAGAAAGGGAAAGGGTAATCATTATAAATGGACTCCATTATCGCACCAGTTTACTGTTATCGCACCAGTTTGCTGGTATAATGAGGACAGCTCCTGTCTCAGTGTGTGGTTTCGGCAAGGGAGGGAAAACATGAAGGTTAAAGAGGACGAGGTTAGCAGAAGTAGACAGCAGTAAATGTGATTAGATGAGATCCCGGCGAGGGCACGGCTGGAAAGAGAGAGGGTTAAAACAGATCCCACCCAGGCCGTGTGTCCAGACCCTCACTTTTCATCGAGATAGCCCTGCAGCACCATTGGGGGCGCAGTGACTCGCTTTCATCTGCTAATTACAGTTGCACCATCATAAAAAACCAGCAAGGTAATTTATATTAATTATACAGGCATGAGTATAACAGTTTGAAACGCCATGGCTTGACATGCTGTACATAACATGCAGTAAAATTGTCAGAGACGTGTGGGCTAGAGCCTTGTAATTGATCGATGCATACAGTGAAAGAGTCGCTCTCTTTCTCTCGTGTGTATGTGTGCGAGTGGACTGTGTGAATTAGGGTCAATAAATTATCATCATCTGTAAGCTTACAGAGTCTTTATGTCATAGTCAATGGGCCTGAGCACCCATCCAAACAGCTTGCCCTGCTAAAGAGAAACAACGCTGGGGAAAACAATGACAGCATGCTGGATGCAGCACAGTAAACATATTAAAGGAAGTGTCGTTATATTGTGTGAGCAGGACAAAGGCCAGGACCCACATGATGTTTAATGACCCAGTGTATTAAAATTAACAAGGCCTTTTTACCTCTGCTGCATTCACATTTCCATCCAGTAGATAATGCTTAAGACTTAATGTAATGATATTAACATAATGTCTAGAAGACGACTTAGTTCGGAAATCAGTCCCTCAGTTGTTTATTGTTTGGCTGCATTTACTCAGTTTTTAAAATAAACTAAACCTTCTTCATATCCGCAGAATCATTACAGACATTTTAAAATATGTCATTAAAGGCTGCTCAAAGTGCACATGGTTGTGTGTGCGTGCATGCAGAAAGGAGGAGGTATAGGCCCGGGCCTGCTCCCTTTTGCCTCAGCAGCATCTCGGCAGCCTGATGTGGTTTATGGCCCCAGTTGCCCTCTCTGGGTCTGTTTATGGATTCCCATAGAACAGAGAATCATGGCCACTCCAGGAAAAGCCAGCCAAAAACAACACCTCCACCACTGCACTCTTGCCTGCCTACGCTATAACTCAACGTGCTGTTTATGTTTCTGAAGGAGGAAAAAAAAAAGTATTCATAGTAATGACATAAGATGACTGTAAATTCTGATGCTAATGTTTAATTTTTTTTGTTGATGTAAGATAAAAATGTCACCACAAATGTGGCTGGTTTATTGGATGTCGTTACAGGTTGGTGAAAAAATTGTAGGCTTTGTTAAGGGAAAGCTTTTTTCTTTAGTTTGGAGTAGCATTGCCTTTGCAAGACCAGTTATTTTATGATGCCTGTAAGATTTATTACATGAAAATGTTCAACTTTGATAGGATAATGAAAGTGCACCACCAAGGGCATTGTTAATCGAGGAAATATTCTACCTGATGTGTTTTCCCTCTGCTGTTTTCCCCACAGTTTCTCTAGTGCCAGTGCAGTGCATTACTCTTCACTGAAAGCATGCTTTGGAAGAGTGATAGTGGAAATACTCTGGGTGTAAAAAATACTCTGTGGTCAAAGGTGGTGCAGGTTAGATGCAGCAGGACCATGTTTTGTTTCTTTGTGTTCAGATGGCAGAAGTAAATCCTCCGGTGTAGTTTCTCAGGTTTGCTGTGCCGCAGGGGCAACTCCATCATCCTCTGAAGCTGCACAACTGGGGCACATCTGGTTTGTGGATGGGTTTGACTGGATCCTGCCTGGGATCCAGAGGGCAGCGTGTAGCCGGGCGCCTGCAGCTGCTACTGATGGTGTTGTGTCACGGCAGTCAGAGGTTACTGGATTATTGCTGTTATCAAACGGTAAACACTAAGTGTGGGTCTCGCAATGATGCAAAAGAAGCGCTAAAGGAGGGCCATCCGTCATTTTCACTGTAGACAGTCAACATCAGACACAACCATTCTGGCTGTAAAGCTTCATGAGTGTTTCTGCTGGTGTTGTTTAACTCCCACTGCATCCATCAAGGAAACATCCTCTGTTCCCCCCCCTTTTTTTTTTCTGGCCACGTTTAGTCTTGTTTTGCTGGAGAAAAAAAATCCCTCCGCCAGCCCTCCTCTGTTTTACAACAACATGTGTATGTAGTTTTGTAGCAGCACCAAAGAATGCAAAGAAAGGCATTTTCTGTTGCATAGCTCTGAACCCTCAGTTTGTTCCCTCCTCCCTCTGTCATCCACTCTTTCTCACTTTCTCCCCTCCCTCCCCGTGGATTCCCCAACCACACCACAACACCGTTAACAGACGCGGCCCTGACAGATTTACTGCCATCGTCTTTCCATTGGCCGCCAGCGTGACAGCAGAGATTTAATGCCGCCTTCTCATTGGCCAACGCTTGACAGGTTAATTTATGGGTGCACTGTGATTTGATGCCTCCTGCCTTTGAAGTGAATTACAGCTCTGTCGCTTATAGGACACAGAAACGGTGTCAGGTTGCAATCGTAAAATCTTATCCCTGAAGGGAGGTGGCGCTGGAGTATAATAGTCCTGACGTCATGAGAGGAGAAGAGACCTTCTTGTGAGGAAGAAGAAAGAAATGTGTGATCGGATAAAATGCTAGGTGTCTGTCCAAAAATGTGAATCGATGTACATATGTAGAAAAAAATGTCTTAATCTCATAAAGAGAGATCAAGTTGTGCTGCAAAGAGAGAGGAAAAGGCGCGAGGTTCCAGTCACATCCTGCCTCTAATTTGAGGTTTTCCTACCTGCATGGGAATGTGCATTTGTCTTCTTCTCTTTTTCCCACATCTCTTAAGTTCAGCAGGTTTTTGCTTGACTCTGGGGGTCAGAAGATCCTAAGTGACTGAGTAAATCACGCATATATCTCGTAGCTGATCAACAGCAGCAAACTGCCAAAGTCACTTTGGCGTCTGACTACTGTATCTGCTCACTGCAGCCCCAGCGTTCGTGCAATGCCATCATCTATCTGCGGCCTATCTCTTCATCAGCCTGACAGTCTATCCTGACAAGATCAAGAGGAGCGAGAGCGCGGCCCTGTAACAGCCTTGACCCACGGAAATCTCTTGAGGGTAAAAAGCACGGCTGCCCCTGCCCTGTCTATCAACCCCGG